AAACCATTTTCGAAAAGGATCATTACTTGACACACATGGAATCAATCCTCGAGATGTACAACCCCGAATCCAAAGATTACAAATTGCCCCTTGACTGAATAACACTGCTCAGCACTGTAACCAGCTCTAAGAAAAAGGATTATAACCAAACTTTCAGGTAAAGAACGGACAAAAATGACCTGATTAACACATGGACGGGACAATTGATTTGGAGGTGTTTACGATCAAACTTCATAATGAAGTTGCCTACGTATCTCGAAGATGGAAATCAGGCCTTACGTAGTTCGGTTCGGGTTCACTCAAGTATTAACGCTCTCTTTTTGCGCTCTAACTTTTGCCAAGGCCATCCTTTAGGGTTTTCAACCTTGCGAGATTAGTTTTTCTTTATTTCCAATTTTTTTGTGCTCTAACTTTTGCCTAGGTCGCCCTTCCGGGTTTTCGGTCTAGCGAGCCTCTCTGGGATAATATTTCTTCAACTTGTCCATGTTGATTGGTTGGGAAAATTCTAGGCCATCCAGGTCCATGAGAATAACAGCTCCATCCGACCAGATAGTTTTAATGTTGTAAGGACCAGTCCAATTGGGTCTGAACTTGCCCCTAGGGTCATGGATAGGAGCTTGGTTGTCTTTCAGTACCAAATCGCCTTCTTGAGATTCTTGAACTTAACCTTCTTGTTAAAAGCCCTGGCAGTCCTGTGTTAATAACCTTGAACATGGTACAGTGCTTTCAGCCTTCTCTCATCAAACGGTATTAGTTCTTTGAACTTGTTTTGTTGCTAGTCCGCCTCTGCTATTTGACACTCAGCCATAACCCGCAGCGACGAAACTTTTATTTTGATTGGCAGAACAGCTTCCATCCCATAAACAAGAGAGTAAGGAGTTGTCCCTGTAGACGTCCAGATTGAAGTTCTATAGCTCCAAAGTGTGAAAGGCAATTTGTCTGGCCAATCCCTATAGGTCTTAACCATTTTCTGCAGAATATGCTTGACGTTCTTGTTGGCGGCCTCAACAGCATCGTTGGTTTGCGGCCGATATGTAGATGACTTATGAAAATTCATGTTGTATTTCTCCAACAAGTCTATCACTTTTTTCTTGAAATAGGAGCCATTATTTGAAATGATCTCGTTTAGGACTCCATATCGGCAAATGATGTTGTTTCGGATGAACTTAGCCACATGCGTTGCTTTCAACATTACATAAGACTGAGCTTCCACCCATTTAGTGAAGTAATTAATTGCCACCAAAATATATTCATGTCCATTTGACCCTTTTGATGTGACTGCGCCGATAACATTGACTCCCTAGACTAAGAAAGGCCATGGTGAAGTCATGTTGTACAGTTTTGACGGCGGGATGTTCATGCAATTAGCATGAATTTGGCATTTGTGGCATTGCCGAACAAAATCGATACAATCCACCTTCATATTAGACCAGTAGTAACCTTGCCTGAGAATCTTCCAGGCTAACATTACTCTGTTCATGTGCACTCCGCACTCTCCCCTTTGGATGGTCTCCATTAGGCGCTTTGTCTCTTCTGCTTCGACACACAACTTGTGCATTCCCAGATGACCTCTTTTGTACAGTTTACCTCCGCAGATGATAAATTGAATGGCCATTTGCCATATTGCCCTCTTATCTTTGGCATTTACCCCTGGTGGATAAACCTCATTTTCCAAGAAGTTCTAGATGTCATAGAACCAAGGGTTTTGATTTTGCGCTTCATCTATTACGGCGATAGTCTCGTAGGCTGGTGTATATCTTTACTTGATGATGATCGGACGCATCCGGACTCCAAATCCATTTATCATAGAAGATAGAGTTGATAAGGCATCAGCGAACCTGCTGTTCTCTCTTAGTAGATGCGTGAAAGTCAGCTTCTCAAACCTAGGGATCAAAACGTTCAGGGTTTGGTGACAAATCTTCATATTTTCTTCTTTGACCTTCCAGTCTCCTTTTACTTGAGACGCAACTACGTTCGAGTCCCCAATGACGTCTAACCTTTTGCCTTTAGTTCCAGGGCAGCTTCTAAGCCAGCGATACACGCCTCGTATTCTGCTTCGTTATTGGATACCTTGAATCTGAGTTTGAAGGCTAAAGGTATATGGGAATTGTCGGGTGCTATCAACAACAGCCCTATCCCATAACCATACTAATTAGACACTCTGTCAAAGTACATTGTCCAAATCTCTTCCTTAAATGGCTTCATCTGGGAACAGGTATTCTACCGCTTCATCCCCTTCCACTAGGTGATTTGCCAGGAACTCCGCTACTACTCTCCCTTTGACTGACTTGCGAGTGACATACTTCAAATCAAATTCGGAGAGAAGAAGCAACAAACGGATTAGCCTACCTGTAAGCGCTGGTTTCTTAAAAAGATATTTGATGGGATCTAATCTCGAAACCAGAATTACGGAGTGAGCTAACAAGTAGTGCCTCAACTTCCTGGTAGTCCATACCAAGGCTAGACAAGCTTTCTCCAGCAGAGTGTAGCGGGTCTCATAATCCAGCATTTTCTTACTAAAATAGTAGATGGCTTTCTCTACCCTATCCTTAGATTCCTGAGCAAGAATGCATCCTATCGTTGTGTCTGTTACTGACAGATACAAAATCAAAGGCTTCTCCAACTCTGGCGGCGACAACACGGATGGGTTCTGAAGATACTGCTTGATTTGTTCGAAAGCAAATTGACATTGATCATCCCATCGAAACTTCTTTCCTTTCTTTAGGAGACCAAATAGTGGTTCACAAGTCAAGGTTAATTTAGAGATAAACCGTTTTATGGATTGCACTTTACCCAGGAAGCCTCGCACCTCCTTTTCAGTCGTTGGTGGTGGCATTTCTAGGATGGCCTTGATTTTGGAAGGATCTACCTCGATGCCCCTTTGTGTGATCAAGAAACCCAACATTTTTCCTGCTGTCACACCGAAAGTACATTTTTGTGGATTGAACCTCAGTCTATATTCTCTGATCCGTTGGAAGAATTTCTTCAAGGCGGTGTAGTGGCCCTCTCTTTCCTTGGACTTGACAATTATGTCATCTACGTACACCTCTACTTCTTTATGGATCATATCATGCACAATTGTGGTTATAGCCCTTTGATAGGTAGCCCTAGCATTCTTCAGCCCAAACGACATCACTTTGTAGCTGTAGGTTCCCCACGGCATAGTGAAAGCAGTTTTCTCTCTGTCCTCGGGTGTCATTAGAATCTGGTTATACTTGGAAAATCCATCCATGAAGGAGACTAATGCATGACCTGCAGTGAAGTCCACTAATTCATTGATGTGCAGTAGAGAAAAATCGTCATTTGGACTGGCTCTGTTCAGATCTCTGAAGTCCACACACACCCGAATTTTGCCATTTTTCTTCGACACGGGGACGACGTTGGCCAACCATGTTGGATACTCAGATACTAGCAAGAACCCGGCGTCGATCTGCTTGGTGACCTTCTTCTTAATCTTCAAAGCCCAATCCGAGCGTATTCTCCGTAACTTCTGTTTGATGGGTCGGGCCTCGGGGTTGAGAAGGATCTAATGCTGTACAATCTCAGGATCGATTCCAGGCATGTCTTCGTAGGACCACGCGAAAACATCTTTGAAAACTTTTAATAAAGCGACTAAGCGCTCGCGCTCCTCTAAAGACAACGTGGACCCAATTTGGACCAAACGCGGGTCTTCTTAGTACCCACATTAAAAGCAATGATTTCATCAACAAGGAGTTTTGCAAACCTCTCCTCCTCTCAATTAATCAAAATTTTCAAAACCAGAGGAATTCCTTCCTCTTCGGATTCATTAAAATTTTGAAAATCATGATCAATGCAATAAATAAGCGGCACAGAGAAATACTCAGAATCTGTGGTGATATTCTCATTCACAAAGTCAAGCTCATCCATTTCCTCGGTTACAACCGACTCAAAGGAAAAAAGAAAAGGACGACCTAGACAAAACCTCGGCACAACGGCATTCGGGTTATCAACCCTAGGAATACCAGACTCTGACTCAGAAGAATTGGAATCTAATTCCGACTCTACAGACTCTGTGGAATCAGATTCTGGCTCACTACCCGACTTAGAACTACTGGACAGGTAGCCCTCATCTAGCTGCCAAATGAGGGATGGTACATCAGATGCATCCAAAATGCTGCTAGAAAGGTTCACCTCCAATTGGTCCCTGATCATGGAAACGACCAGGTTATCTCCCAAGCTCTCTGAGTTGATCAGAGGATCTGACAGGAGACATGCTAGTGCTGCTCTTACTTCAAGCTCGCTGCTGTTGGAATTACTTTCTATGCTCCATTCAGCTCCAACAGTCAGTTTAGTCTGTTCCTTTGTATCATTGTCTTGCAGTTGCAAGTCAAAGAAAATCTCAAGGCCAGGAACCCGCTGCTTCTCAGAATTGAACCAAGGTTTAGGGAAATCGCAAAATGGGAAGTCTTCTCCCTCCCGAGCAAAATAACCATTCAGGGTTCCCCGAATTGGTCTATGCACAAGTTCGTAGCGCTTATAAGTCTGCTTACCTCTGACTCTGCTGGCCATTTATTTCCCTTTCCTAACCCAATCCTTGATAATGTACAATGTGCTACAACTACTGGCAAAAAGATAAATAAAACAGGAAACAGCCACATCTGTGCTCTCAAGAGCAGTAATAAGAGGCCCTCTTCGTCCTCTTCTGCGGAATAGACTCTCCGCCACCATCGCCATCGCCATCGCCATCGCCATCGCCATCATCTGAATCGGAGTCGTCATCCTCACGATCCCCCTCAGCCTCCTCCTCCTCCTCTCCGGCAGACGTCTCGAACTGACGGTCGGTAGCCTCCTCCTCCTCCTCATCAGGCTCCACCTCCACAACGTGAGCCCTGCGTCTGCGGACGGGACCCCCTCGAGCTTCTCGATAAGGTCTAGATGGCCCGGCTCCTCGGGAAGGCCGAGATGACCCTGCCCCCTGAAAAGGCTCAGATGGCCCAGCTCCCCAATGAGGCCCAGGCCCTGAAAAGGCCCAGATGGCCCAGCTCCCCAAGGAGGCCCAGGTGGCCTGGCCTGTGGCTGACCGGACCATGAAGGCATCTGAAAACAAAGAGTTCAATTCAAATACATCAGTCCAAATATATACATCAAATACAGATACAAGCAAAGGCTACGTGAAGTGGGTGCATGTAAATGCAGTGTACAAGTGGAGTGTGTGTTAGAGGTGCTCTACACAAAGTAGTCTATCGGTGCAGTTGAAATCAGCATGTCATCAGAAGTATGATAAATGCCAGAAAACTGAAGGGTACCTAAATGCCCGCGACAGACAACTGTGCCTCCCTACGCAGGACCATGCCCTCGAGTGTGGCCACCAGTCCAACCACCTCCTCTATGTACCCTCGCGATGGCTGCAAAAATGAGCTCATAATCATCAGTGCACAGAAGAGTGTCTAAACATCTGAATGATGAATGAAAAAAGTGGAGCATACCGGCGGTGAGTCCGGATCAATGGCATATCGATCACTGGGCATCGGAGGCTCTAGTGGAATCGGAGTCGGAGAGCTAGCCCCATACTGCCACGCCATCAACTCAGTGGGCATATCTGGCCATCCGAGATGAGGATGAATCGACGGAGTTGGGGGAACCGGTCTACTCCCACCTCTAGATGTACCAGCCCTACTAGAAGAAGGGATGTCTGTAGCTCGAGCCTGAGCCTGGTCCGAGGACGACATACCGGCAGGCCTCATCATTGGGATACGAGCTTCCGCCAATGGAGGCATCAAATATATGTGACGGTAAGTGGCGTAGTCCCCCTCCTCAATATATAGCAAAGCATCACTGCCCAGCATGGCGCCGACTACCTCCGAGAAAGAGAGCCTGTCAGCAGTCCGCATACTGACTGGGGGTACTGCGGGAGGATCCTGAGAAAGATACCCCCATACCTGGCGCAGAAAGCGTTCCCCCAGGAACCATGCCCTGCCAACCGGCCCTTCGAGCAGGACCCTATACTGGGAGATGCCTGATGCTCCGGTATACTGAAGTCGGAGATCATCACCAGAGGCGCCCAAGGCTGCCAAGTGATCTGCGGATGACAAATGCATGAACCAATCAGAAATCGAGAATATACAGTGCAAATCAAAGATGAAAATGAAAAGAACTGAAAGTTCTGGGGTACCTCTGAGTGTCGCACAGTGTCGAAGTACTGTCGCAGGCGAACGAGGGTCTCTCGAGGTCTCGGCCGGTGCGGGCCCTCGAATATCAATGAATATGGGGTCACGGGAATCCCCACCACCTCCAGCTCTGGGGCTAATGATGGGAAGTATACATAAACCCATAGCTGAGAAAAGCAATGCAGAATGTAAGTACGAAATGCTGAGAGCAAAATACAGACTGTAAAAGTGCGCTGTGTGTGCAATGTACAAATGATGAAAAGCAGAAATGTAAATCAAGGGGACAGAAAGTACCTCCCAAGCTCTCCAATAGCTGCCAAGCAAATCGCCCCGCCCGCGGGAGGTCGCGCTCATATAAAAATAAAGGGTAGCCAGGCCGGCGCCACCCCAGCCATATCTATGGACCTGTGATAGGTCGACTAGAGCGCTCAGCAAATATAGCCCAACGGTGTTCCCTCTGTCGGCGAACAGGGTAGTCCCGAAGAGAAACATCAGGAAACCACGGGCGTACTGCTCCGTCTCCTCGGGACTCTCAGGCACCATCTCCGCCCGCCGGAAATGGGAAGAGAACCAAGTATATCGGACTCTCCCTGAAACCCTATCAACAGGCGGGCGAGCCCCCAGCAGATACGTCCAGGCGGCCTCCCACTCGCCCATATCCTCGTCGTAGGGAATGGACCAACCTCCGACGTCTAAGCCGGTCAATACAGCAAAGTCAAAAGGGGTCATGGTCATGTCCCCGGTAGCAGAGAAATGAAAGGAATTGGTGGTGTCCCACCATCTCTCTACCAAGGCTGCCATCAATGTCCTCCTGGCAGGACAACGTGACAACCAGACGCAGAAGGGGCCGAACCCCGCCAAGTCTACTAAGTCTCTGACGCCCTCCGGGAGCTCAGCATACCAATCCCGCGCCATGGTGGAACCATATCCCCCCACACTGCGTGAACAAACCTGCATTCAGAATGAATACACGTGTCAAACAATGAAATGAAATGGGCTGTGTGCCAATGAACTAAATGGGCTGTGTGCCAATGAAATGAATGGGCTGTGTGCCAATGAGATGAAGTGGGCTGTATACCGATGAAGTAAAAATAAGCTACATGCAAATTCTATCTTTCTAGTTTTTAAACTAGCTTTACTATGTGACGCACACAAGCAAGTATAGACTAGTCACAAGACTTGGAACAATTCAACTCGTGTTTGTTTTCGAAAATGGTTTGAATTTGCCTCATGGCAAGCATGCTAAACATGGTAATATGGTAATCACACTCATGCAAGTATGCTAAAGCGTAAAACTCACCGAGTACTCCAAGCCAAAACAAAAACTAGTTAGAAAAATGCATGATCCTAACTATACAAGATGCCTAATGCAACACATGCAATATGAAATTAATAGGCGCGACTACTAATATGGCATATGATTCAATTTGAATAACATGCGATTTAAACACGTATTCAAAGAAGATATTGAAATGACGATGCAATTTGAATGATGCGCTAAGCCTCGGTGCATGCAAGACAAATGAATGGATGCAATCATGCAAGCATAAGGTATGCTAATTGAAAATGTCCCTAATCTAACAATTGAAAGCAATTAAATAAAATGGAGAAAGACGTGGGGTTGGAAAACATACACACACGCATACACACTTATTACAACATTATGCCCTCACGATGAAAGGTCCAAATGAATAAGCTAACTTGCTACGCTAATTAAACTAACTAATTATTACAAAATGAATTAATTAACTATTCTAGTTAACTAATTATTACAAACCGAAAATGAAAAACTAGTTAAACTAACTAATTATTGAAAACACTTAATTACAACACACATTTGATCTAATGCTAATTAAACCAACTAACTAATCCCAGGGAAGCGAGGAATGCATGCATGCTTGATCCTTCACCCGAAAAGCCACTGTTTTGTTGCTGCAGCCTCTGTTTGCACACTTGAACACCAAAGAAGCTGTCTACTTCTAGAACACCTCTGCTCTACCTCAGGAACACACTGTGCAATTTTCATTGGTGGCCGACAGGGGACCTGTCGGCTACCAATGGTGGCTGGTCGGCTACTAGTGGTGACCGGTCGACCACTGATGACATGAACTCCACTGATGACAACAGAGAGTAGACAGGGCAAAGTAGTGTATTTTCACAAATGTTTGAACATTTTGCCTCTCCTCTTCATGGGGAAATCAAAGGAGGAACAAAATTTGATTTCACAAACCATCAATCAAGCAATTTCATTGCATGATGGCTTGTGTAGCCAATTGTGTAAGTTCAATTAATGCAAAATGAGACTCAAAATGCCACCACCCTATCATGTATGATCAAGGATGATGGTGACCGAGGAAAGTGGCACATTTCATCACTTTCGAGTATGAAATGTCCCATTTTCCTTGTGTTTAAATTAACGTCCAATTCGAACACATGCAATGCAACATGAAAGATGCTTATCTTGCCTTTTTTACTTGTTCATTTTGTTTACTCATTTTAAATTACCGATTCATTCTTTAATCTATGAAGTCCAAAGGTGAGTGTCCTCTAAAGCGAAAGAAGTGCCAACCAAGGGGTAGTTCAAGGCATGAGGGAAGTTTCATGCCGTTGGTAATGAACCCACAAAGGAGGATTAAACCATTAAGCATGAGCCTCAACCTCAAGCTTAAACAACCCTCAAAACAAATAAAAAAGTGAAGAAACAAGGGAGGTTGAAGAGATTGTATGTGCTGAAATTAGGCATGAAAAAGCATTCAAACATGCAACCAAGACACACAAATGGTGCTCAAAGTCTAAAAACACTACGCTAGTGAAGGAAATTGCACCACAACCATACAAAACAAAGCTCAAATGAACCAAACAATCCAAAACAGAGCTAAAGCAAGTCAAAATAGAGGCAAAAACATGATGGACTAAAGCTAAGTTAGGCTAGAAAAACATGCTAACATGTGAGGCTAACTAGGCATGCAAGCAAGACACAAGGAGGGAAGGCTAACCCTTATAATTTTGGACTTCAAAAGTTGGTTTTTACCATTCAGTGGTTAAAAGGGTCAAAAAAGGAGTTTTGAAAGTGATGAAAAGATGGCAATGGTGGATTACCCCTTTACACAAGATAGCCTCAAACCATCATTTTAAGCCTAAAAAAATAGAGTTTTTTATAGTTGAAAACCAGTCCAAAAACAATGCAAAAGGATAGCAAAACAAGGCTGAAGACTTGGACAAATAAACAAGCAAGACAAAGAACGGTTGCGCCCGCTGGCTGCCTACGTATCCATTTGCAAGGAATCAAACCAGCGTAGTTCTGGGGCAAGATGCAAAAGATATGCATGATGCAAAAACATAACTTATGATCATGCAATGAGGCTGTAATGAAACATCTAGATGCAAATATTATGCAAAGAAATGTTATAGTCAAACAAACTGGAGTAAGGTATAGCAACCTCTAACATGAATAGAAGTAAGTAGACATGAACCAAACCACATTTCATACAGAAAGGATGTAAGAAAATTATGCAAGCTTAACCAAACACCACGCAGGAAAGGCAAAGAATAACACAATCGTCGGGCGCACCCAAGGTGTCAAACAAGATCCTAACGCGTTGCATGCGGAAGGAGAGAATGGATGGTGTGAACACCGGGGGGTACCCGACTGTTCTGAACCAAAGGAAACGGTGATAAACATCGGAGCGCATCCAAACGTTTGTAACCAAAACAAGGAATAGTGATAAACAATCGGAACACATCCGGCTATTTTTGTTTAACCATAACAGGGAGTGGTAGTAAACATCGGAACACGTCCAAATGTTTTTAACCAAAATAAGGAGTGGTGGTGAACATCGGAACACGTCCAAATGCTCTTAACCAAAACAGGGAGTGGTGGTGAACATTGGAACACATCCAAATGCTCTGAACCAAAACAAGGAGTGGTGATGAACATCGGAACACATCCAAATGCTCTAAACCAAAACAGGGAGTGGTGGTGAACATCAGAACACGTCCAAATGCTCTTAACCAAAATAGGGAGTGGTGGTGAACATCGGAACACGTCTAAATGCTCTAAACCAAAACAGGGAGTGGTGATGAACATCGAAACACGTCCAAATGCTTTAAACCAAAACAGGGAGTGATGGTTAACATCGGAACACGTCCAAATGCTCTTAACCAAAGCAGGGAGTGGTGGTGAACATCGGAACACGTCCAAATGCTCTAAACCAAAACAAGGAGTGGTAGTGAACATCGGAACACGTCCAAATGCTCTTAACCAAAACAGGGAGTGGTGATGAACATCGGAACACGTCCAAATGCTCTAAACCAAAACAGGGAGTGGTGAAGGACATGAATGATCTCACCTGGAACTCCTCCGAATGAACTGTACATACAATAACGTGCCTGTATAAAAAAGAAACTTAACAAGCATAATATAGCCAGAGTGCATGTTCAATGCAAGATGAACAACTATGACACACTGTTAGAGACATGTTTCATGCAAAACACGTGAGAAACAAGACGGAAGCATATTCTATGCAACAAGAATCGGAGCATGTACTATGTAACTTCGGAATGCATATTCAATGTAACAGTACAAAATGCATGGTCTATTAATAGCACAAAATGCATATTCTATGCAAAGGTTAGCAAATGCAAGTTCTATGCACAATAATTGGAAGCATGTTCTATGCGAAAATGAAGAAATGCATATTCCGTGCAACAATAGATGAATGCACATTCTATGCAACAATGGATTGAATAGCAACTTCCGGTTTACCTCTCGGAAGAGTTGCAACAAGTGAAAAAGGATAAACTTTATTGATGTTGATCAGCGATGAATTATCATGCATCGAAGACACGGTTCAGAGCTTCCGCAGAGGCA